TACTTTTTTTTATTTGATTTAAAAGAGAATTTGGCTCTTAACAGGACACAATAGAGAAAAAAGATTCATGTAATCAACCCCACATAGTGGGATAAAGACTTGATGTTATTGTTGTTGTATTGTTGTATAATCACTTCAACATTAGAGATATTACTTATTGAACAAGGTTATACATTTTGATTATCAAGCCTTAAAATATCTAAACTCTCAAGAGATAGGACATAGACACAAAATTGATTAAATTTTTGCAAGAACATACGTTGATGTTGGAACATAGCACCGGAGTTAATAATAGATCCACTTGGGATTGTTGTTATTTTACACACAGTGCATGATAAAATGATTAGCTATGATTACATTAAGAAAGGTTATGCCAATTTGCAAGATTTCAATGAAATATACCATGATTTAACTAATGACTCACAGGTAATAAGTAAGAAACTTAAGATTAGGGAGGGCTCTTTTTTTAAAGATAACTCATCTATGCATTCCTGATTCATATTTGGGATATTTTCTTGTTTTAAAGTTATATGAAGGTGGTGCTGGATATTTTAGTTGTGATAAAACTATATCTATGATTAATGATAGGTATTAATGGTCCAAACTGAAAAATGATAACATGCATAATTTCACAAAACATAACTTGTAAACAACTAGGACATAGAAACATAACACTAGGCTTTAGACACCATTGTCTATTCCATATAAGCCTTGGGAAGATGCTAGCATGAATTTCGTTTAAAGAATACAACGAACTTTAAGGAAAACGATGCTATTTTTTTCTATTAATTGAATTTTTTTCTAAAATGACGCATTCAATTCTATGTTATCTATGTCATAAAATTATTTATGAATCTCATATAGCAAAACTATATTTTAACAAAATGGTTAAACTGCATGGATTGCATGAAACTATTATGTCTAACATAGATGTAAAATTTATGGTTAATTTGAAAACTATTATGATAAAATACATCAACATCAATGTTGGAGAATTTTGTAGTCCTTAAACGGATTGCATACTTTATGATCGAGTAGAACATAAAAATGATGATATATTACCCAAAAGAGTAAAAATATAATTTTCTTATGGACTCAATGATAAAATTTATAATTTTAACAAAGATTCTCCCATTCAATATTTGGTCAAATGGGTTTTATTTATTTCTTGGGTACAGACGTCGTTAATTACATCTCAAGCTTTGGTGCTTGAGAAAACTTTTAATTAAACTAGTGGTTTTCTTCATTTTGAGAGTCACTCAAGTTTGGCTAAAGTTTAATTTTTTAGAACCCATGAAAGTTTTGCTTAAAGGTTTTGGCCTTTATGAATTTTAATGGGGGAAAATATCAACTTAGAATCAGATTTTGAAATGAGAGCTAAAGGAGGTGAAATAGGAGCACTTGATTCTGAGAAATCTTATAGGTGCTCGGATTATCCTCTGTTGGGCTTTACATATTCTGAGAAATCTTATAGGTTCTCAGATTATCCTCTGTTGGGCTTTACATTTTTTTAATTCAAATTTTTCTTTGAATTGATATTTTCATTAAAAGGTTGGGGCTTACATTCCAACAACATATGTTGGAGAAACTGCTCATAATGTGAGGACTTATATGATGATTGGAATCAACAATTTACCTTGGATCCTAAAATTAAGGTGAGGACTACCGAGAGGTAGTACCTCAAACCTAAGTCTAACAAAATGCAAAGGGACTTACAAACTATACCTCACATGAGGCATAACCTGCCCGACCTCTGGATTTATTATCCTGCCTAGAAAGGGCTACCAGCTAAACCCATCTAATCAATTTTAAAACAATGTTGTCCGGTCTCAATGCAAATGTGCAGTGGGGAGGCTATCTTGTTTAGAAAGGTAAGACTTACAACTTGGCTTTGAGGCCAAGATGACTATGTATGAAGGTATGCATATGATGACTCATAAAGAAAATAAATTTTTGTTATCTAGTCCTTAATTGAAGGCTTTCTATATGAGACATATTTGGGATGTGCATGATCATTTTAAGTTTTGAAAACTTAGCTCCTTGAAGGGAGCCATGCAAAATTTTTTTTATTTGAAAAACATAAAGCCTAGATTTAATTTTTTAGATTGTTTACATTTTAATGGGTAAAAAACTTATTTTGGTCCTAAGAGCAGACCGCATCACAAGTCTAGGCCACATCCAAACAAATAAGAAAAGAAACCTAAGAAAATGCATGCATTTATATTGCACAATCGGATAAATAGATTAAAATTGCTTGAATACATAAATCAAACAAACTGAATATAAATCATAGAGTCTAAGTTATTACAACCAGATTTGGCAGCCGAGTTGTCTGCTATTATACAACCCAGTCAAATTTTAATACAGACTCTTGCTTGTGGGGTCTTCAAGCTTTATCTTCCAGGTAAACCTCAGGCCTCACCTTCCACAAGTACATCCGTTTGGTTCACCTCCTTTTGATCCAAACCTTCACAAGTCTAATACAATTCGTACTTCTATCAAATACATTTAGAAAATGAAAAAGACTCAAGCCTACAAAATAGAGTTAGAAGCAGTTTATATAATAAAGCATCACATCTAAAATTTTGTTTAGCACTTAGAGTGTCAAAACATCTGCTTCTACCCTATTGGTCATACCTCTTGAGAAATTTTAAGTAGCGCCTGCAAGCAAACAGTATTAGAATAATCATGATTTATTTTACCCCCTCTTGTACACGGCCACCTACAAGAAGAACATATATATTTCTACACTATTCACTTAAGGGCAAATGCCCACAACGCAGACAATCCAATAGGCAATCACACCAAATCATCAATCACATACATAAACAAAGAAAAATAAAGGTGTTTGATTTTATTTTGAAATGAAGATGTTTGATCTTTATCCAAGGATGGTTTCACTTTAAGTTGTTTGTGACTTAAAGATTTTATTTGATTTTTAAAAGTTTCATATTTAGGAGAGTTATAAAGAACTCATAAAGTAACCACGGCTTGCTTTTGGGAAAGCCTATTACTTATGAATCCTAAGATACAATGATGTAGGCATGTCACCTTTTGGGGGAGATGATTGATTATTGTATCAAAGGGAACCTAAGTAATTTTTTAAGTATTTTGAAGCTCTCTTAGTGTTTGGATAAGAGAAGTGTCTACCTAATAGTGTGAGATAGGCATGCCTAAGGGTTGCACTTAGGACTTTGTGAAATTCATCCAATAGAGTAGGATGAACTCCAACATAAAGGATAACTCCTAAAGGACATTTATGTGTTTAGCATTTTAAATGTCATAGGAGAAATCACTTGATTTGGTTAAATGAAATTGTTCACTTAGATTTTGGGTCTAAGAAAGATGCCCAACATATAACTTTTGAGCTACGTGTTGAAGAACTCTCCTTAACTTTTGGAGCTAAGAAGGAGAATGTAGGAATTCAATATTTAGCTTTTGAACTAGATGTTGGAGAACTCCCTTTAACTTTTGGAACTAAAGAGAGGGGAAATCTCCTATGATTTGGAAATTGGAGGAGAGTTGGGAGAATATGCAACTTATGGGTTGCAAATTCATAAATGTCTTTGAATACTTTGATGTTCAAAGAGAGGGTGTTGCACCCTTCCAATTTGGGTTGGAAGGATGGATTGGAGATAGGACTTTTGAATCTTATGTTTGGGATGAAACTACTTGTTGCTTTTAGTTTAACAATCAGGTTGGTTTGGAACAGGATTGATCCACTCAACACGGGTTGAGTGAAAGAGAGTTTCATACAACTTTTGAGTTGTTGAAAGGAGAGAATTTCTCTACAATTTTGATTTGTAGAGAAGAAATGGTAAAATGCAACTTGGATTTTGCAAAATTATGGATGTTCCTTTGAGTATTGGATATTCAAAGGAAGGAGGTGATCTACCCAACTTATGTTGGATAAATAGGAGAAGGTGATGAGCAAGAGTTGAACTACAAGCCACCATGGATTCTCTTTGAACTTTTAGATGCACAAAAAGGGAAATTCACTCTTCCAAATTGAGTTGGAAGGATGGAAAGGTAATATCTTCTACAATCTTTGAGTTGTAGGAGATTGAACATCTCTACAATTTTGGTTTATAGAGAAGAAGGGAGAAAATGCAACATATGCGTTGCAAGTTCACGAATATCTCTTGAACATTTGTTGTTCAAGGGTAGTCATACATTCTCCTAACTTTGGTTTAGGAGGATGAAATGATTTCCTACAACTTTTGAGTTGTAGAAAGGAAGAAGTGAAGTGCAACTTGTGGGTTGCAAGTTGGAGGAATTTCTTTGAGTATTTGATGTTCAAAGAAAGGGACACACATTCACTTAATTTGGGCTAAGTGAATTGAGAGATTTTCTACACTTTTTGTTTGGTAGAATAAGGAAAAAAAGGTGCAACTCAAAGGTTGCAACTTGGGAAAATCTCTTGAACATTTGATGCTCAAAAGAAGATATTCACTTGCCTAAATGTAACTAAGCAAATGAAAGAGAAGAGCTCAAGGTTTGATCTCAAGCTCAAGTGTTTTATAACATGATATATTTAGGATTTTGAAGAAATCCATGATACAAGACATAAAGAGGATTAGGTGTTCTCCTACAATTTTGAATTGTAGGAGAAGGGAAAGAAAGTGCAACTTATAGGTTGCAAGTTCTTGAATATTCCTTGAACATTTGATGTTCAAAGAGGAATACTCATTTGCCTAATTTGAGACTAGGCAAATGAAGAGGAATTCAAAGGTTTCCTATAATTTAGGATTGTAGGAAAAGAAGTGGTGCAAAGTATAATTTAGGGATTAAAATTGGAGCAACTTCTTTGAACGTTTGGTGTCCAAAGAAGAGGTTCATTCCTCCAATTTGGGTTAGAGGGATGGAGGAGAAGAAGATGCAACTTAGAAGTTGCAAATTCTTGAAAGTTCCTTGAACATTTGACATTCAAAGAAGGATGCACACTCTCCTAATTTAGGTTAGAAGAATGAGAAGACATTCCCACAACCTTTGAGTGGTAGGAAGAAATGAAGGAACACACAACTTATGGGTTGTGTATGGGAGGATAATTCATTAAGTCGAGTGTTTAATGATGTATGGTCATTTACCAAGTTTATGCTAGGTAAATGGGGAGAAGAGATGTGCAACTTGGAAGTTGCAAGCTCATAAACATTCTTTGAACATTTTATGTTCAAAGAGAAAATGTATATCCTCCCAGTTTGGGTTTGAGAGCATGAAAACGGATTTGAACACTCTCCCACAATCTTGGCTTGTAGGAAAGAGGGAAGGAAATGCAACTTAGAGGTTGCAAATTCATGAAGATCATTTGAATACTTAGTGTTCAAAGAGATGCATACATCCCCTTAGCTTTGAATCTTAGGAGAATGAGGTGGTCTCCTACAACTTTCGAGTTGTGAAAAGAGAGAAATGGAGTGCAACTTAGAGGTTGCAAGATTAAAAGAGATCTCTTGAACATTTAGTGTTCAAATGAACTTCTTTATTTGCTTAGTCTAGGCTAAGTAAACGAAGAAGGTAGCTTAGGATTTGTCCCTAAGCTACAAATGATTCATGCAATGATATGTTTGGAGACTTGAGAAGTCCCAAATAATCATGCATGAAAGAGGTGATTGTTTGTTGATTTTATGTTTCAACAAACAAGGGGCAAAGGAACTTGAATTTTGGCTCTAAGTTCAAGCATGTATTTAGGATTTTAGAGAATCCAAAATTCCATGCACAAGGAGGAGAAGATGGTTGTTTATTGATTTCGTACTTCAACAAACAACTTCAAGCGACTCTAGGATTTGCTAGTGCTATTTTGGGCCCCCTTAGAGGTCATTTGGGAACCTCTCTATGGACTCAAAGAGCAAAGGGCAAAGATATCATTTGTTGGTTTCTTATGCTCCAACAAGGTGGAAAAGCTTGAGATTTGACTTCAAGCTCAATGACCCATGCACTATAACATTTAGAACCTTGAGAAGGTTCCAAAAGTCATGCGTGAAAGAGGGATAATGCTTATCGGCTTTATGTCAACAAGCAAAAAGGTATGAACATAAGATTTTTTTATCCTAAGTTAAGATTGTTCATGCAATGAAAAGTTTGAAGCTTTGGGATGCTCCAAATTATCATGCATAAGGGAGGGAAGACTCTACTAGAGAGCTCCTGATGCATTGAAATGATCTCTAAATCAATTTTAGCATGATTTGGGTATGAGGGATTGTTCCTAAAACTTGAATTTGGAAGGCAACCTATAGTATAATTGAAAGAGCCTAAAGATAGAATCGTCATTGAAATTCCCATAGGTAGGTCCTAAGGATCGAGTTACTATGATCTAAGGGGAATCCTAGAAATGAATACATGAAAGAGGTTTTCCCTAAATCAAACCTAATATGGTTTAGAAATTTGAGAGCTTGTATCTAGTCATATTATCTTGCAAATTAAAGAAAAATGAGCTTAAAATAATCCCTTAGTGTGATGGGGCAATGAGCATGGACCTTTGGGGTCCATGAAATACTCCAAATCAAATTTCTAACACTTAGGATTAAATGAGCACATTTAGAAAAAATTTACAAATTAATAGACTCACTAATCTAAGCAAGAAGCATATAGCATATGGCTTGAATCATGACATAGTAGGAAACATGCATTTGAAGCTTTTAAGAGATCAAATCACTTTTGACATGATTTGATTCATTAAAAGCATGGGAATGAGTTTCCAAACTTTAAAAAATTTGCATAACAAAATAATTAGCCATAATCATTTTTATCATAAGGTATACAACATATCCAAAAATGAGCTTGATCAACACTACTTGCTTTAGAATTTTCAAAATTAACATTTGAGATTCACATTAGATCCTACAAAGTCATCAAAAGTATATTTGGATATATTGCAAAGCTTATCACAAAACTCCTAAATCATATGTCTATTTGTCATGACACTAGTGTTGAGTAGGAATATGTATACAGCATGGAATTTGTGAGGATATGTGAGCTACACCTTCAATTTGATTATGAATAACAACATACCCTAGGGTTTGAATATAGGTGAAACTGTTGAGCTCAATATGATGCACAAACATGCATTTGAGAGGTGTTGGATACCAATCCAACACCCCTACACGCGTTAACATCCTCTCCGAGCTCTCAGATGAGAACCAACAAATGAAAACCGCCAAGTTTACATTGTTTTGCGAAGAGGACAGCCAATGAGAGATTTTGGGAAAGCAAAAATTGAAGTTTTCTAAGGACCTAATTAAGGCTTGGGGACGTCAACCATACAACCACGGCTAAGGGCCATAGGGCTTTTACTAAGTTTTTAAGGTTTTACCCCTCTCGGGTTGTCCAAGCGCTCCAATCCAAGCTTCGAGTGTTGTCCAAGCTCCAATCTGAGGGAGGAAGACCGTTGTCCAAGCTGCTCCGGACATCGCCGCTGATGTCCAAGATGTTCCCAAGCCTCCAAATCGCTATTTGGGAGGTTTTGAAGGCTTCTCTTGCTGTT